GCTCAAACCTTGACATTTTTTCCAAAAAGAAGGAACCTTTCCTGATAAAAAAAATTAAATGAGGATCAACAGCTTGAAAATTGAAATATAAACTAATGTACGACAAAATAAAAAGGGTGTCCAATAATTTGAGTGAAAAGTTGAGGTGCGAGTCTCCAAGTAAAAAGAATGAAAATAACTTGAGAAAGGTGAAGATCAGTACAACAATGCTTTGAAAAGGTGAATTCACTGAGCCAAATTGACCATACATTTACCCTCTGCCCCATTACAAGCCTTAAAATACCCTTGAGATCTTGCATAAATTAGGTTGTGTGATAATTGTAAAATATGAGTAAACCTATGAGACAAAACTTGCATGTGTTTCTCTTTCAGAGTGTGAGAGTTGTATTAATTTCTAACTTCTTTGTTGATATGATTTATGAGAGAATGGACACAGTTTTAGGTGAGGGCACTTAAATGCTTTTGTTGAAGCATGATTTTGCATTATTGGAGAGCATGAGTGAGCTTGAGCTTGTATTGATATCGATTAGTCATCATTTGAAGCTTCTTGAACATGTTTGAGTCATTGCATATGCTTGTTAGTAGTCTTGTGGTGACACCTGCATGTTAACTCACATTGAGAACTATTGTAGACACCCTTGTTAAACTAAATATTTTCTTGATTTACTTAAGGACATGCAAAAGAGTTGATGAGTAGGAGATTTCCACTCATGTTTTAGGTCTTTTTAGTTCAACATATAGTTTCCTCAATTCCTATTTGTGTCATATTCTGATGATAATTTGATGTTTTGCAGTTATAAAGGCTGAAGGACAAGGCACGGGTGAATACATGGGAAAAAAAAGGCCAAAAACATTGAGAGTAGTACAAACTCCCAACTGGTAGTCGACTAACAAAAAGGGTGGGTCACCCAATTGGCCTAACCTCATTGAAGTTGAAACTGTCCATGATTGAAAATATTCAAGGTAGGTCGATGAACTAGAGTTGAAATGGCGATTCGTCAAAGTAGATTGGGCGCGCTAAAGTTCCAATGCCTAAGGTGAGAGAGTTCTAAGTAAAAATGAAAGCTAAAAGGGCGAACAAGATGATAATCAGTGATCCGCCGAATGTGAAAGGCTAACTCCAACGAGTACGCTACCTGTAACGACCCGGGAGCACGCCCTAGCCGTTACATGCGTATTCGACCTCTCGGAGGTCTTATACAAGCCTTAGCATTCATTCATCGCATTCGGTAATAAAAAAACCGTAAGGAATATGAACACTTTTTAAAACAACTCCATAATACTCATAAACTCTTTCAAATGTAAAGAAGTAGAATTTCTAAGTCTCATGTACCATCTTAGACACTAATAGAACATCTTAGGGACACGGCCCTTTACAACAATAGAAAATATAAGTCTTATACAATATCTAAGTGGAAATACTAGAAAGATAACAACTATGTCCTCGAATATATGAGGACATACCAAGCTTCTTGAGAAGAGTCAATATCCCAAGCTTCCTCAAAAAATCTCCTCACTTCCCACCACCTACACTTATAAAAATAGAGAAATATGGAGTTAGTACAATAAGTACTAAGTATGATGACCACGCAAGAAAACATGCACAACGGACATTTACAAGGAATGTATGCTTTTAAGACCTTCTTTAATAAACCTTTACAACCACAAGCATAAACCCACATTTCAAGTCACCATTCACAATTAAGACCATATTCACATCATTTACAACTCAATTAATACAAGTGTACAATACTTAAACAAGATAGTAAAGTAATTCCTTCATTACCATTTAAGACTCTATCTCAAGTCACCCTAAGTCACACTTAAGTGAATAACGAAGTGACCGCCCATACAACTTCTTCATATACACCTAAGTGTTCCTAAGAGTTACCATAGACAAGGGTTTTATCATTACATTATAACATACTAAGTCAACATTCTTTATAAAACCATTTAAGAGACACACAAGCATATAGGGGACAATCACATAATAGCCCTAAGACTTAGGTAACACACTTTAGCATCGTTTAAGCCTACTCGTGCCATGTGTAAATAGCATCCCATACTACTACCTACACATTGTAGAGCCTATCCAATACTAGAGTGCACATCCAACATGATATAAATAGGCCTTAACCGACATAGACCACACTAGCAAGGTATGGAATCCGGTGTCTATCCTACTCCGTGGAGGTTGTTCTACTTGCCAAGGGTAGAACTAGAAGCAACCCATGTTGGCACATGGTTTAAGAGATGTCCAAGGATGTTCATTGTGCCTAATCTCATGCTCAACTAGGCCACAATCCTAACCACATCCACTCGGTGCTTAGCCTTGGATTCCATAGAGTATTCAATCACATATGTACTAGAGAGGGTTCCTTTTCTAGTTCAACCAACTCATAGTACCTCTTCCCAAGAAAGACCCCATTTCTTAGTCATAGCCAATCTAGGTTCATAAGGATAGCTCATTTGACTTTCTTAGATAAGGATTCTCATGCCGTTCCGGCTCCATCCATCTCTAAGTCTATCATTTCACCCAAGAAGGGAACATCGCCCAAAGGCCCATCCTTAAAGTTTATACATTTTCTTAGAAAAGCTAGACTCATAAAAAGGCACTATGCTTAAGACTACCAATTCAAGTCTTGGCCTAGAATTCTTCTTTTAGCATTTATAGGAAGGCATAGCCCAACCAAACATTCATATATATAATCAAGCTTCCATGACACAAGACAAGATACTCAAGTCTAGCATATGATCTACAACATCATTTTATGAAAACTCATCATAGTCCATCATCACCACATATCACCATTTCGAGAGAGACATGCTTTCACATTAGCATAATAACACTTTATACATTATCACATTAACACCATTAGAACATCTTCACATTATAGCTTCACACAAACTTTACATATAGCTTCATATAGAACTTTACATATAGCCTCATATATATATATAAATACAACAATATAATAACACTCATATATTGCCCTTGATGGCCTCAATTCCCAATAATACCACACAAGAATAAGATATAACACTTCCACCAAAGGTGGGTTCAACCTACCAACAACAATCAATTCCATAAAGAGAGTTCAAGCTTTCTTACCATAATCCAAAGCCATAACCAAAATCATCAATACTTCACCCATAAGGCTTACCACCCTTAATTCATCCATTATCAACAATTAATCATAAATAAACATTAAACAACACAAAATATATCAATACAATTCACTTTACACATAATTCCATCAACTTTGAATTTATAGAAATAGACCCACTTCATAGCAAATTTAGGGTTTTAGTGAAAACATGGATTCTTGAAGGAAGTTCATATAAAATCATCAATTCTACTTTAATTCACTAATATAATTCTTTTGAAAACAATTTATCAATGAACCCATGCTTAGAATAGAAATTAGGCTTTTTGTTCTTTGAAGATTTTTGAAATCCTTTTTGAATGGACTCCTTGAAAGAAAGGATAATCAAGGATCAAGAGTCACCATACCTTAGACTTGATGAATCCCATGAAAATTTGATGAAGAAAGCTTGAAATCTAAAACCCTAGGTTCCACTTCTCCTTCTTCCTTGAGTTGAGAGAGAAATATTGAGAGAGAAGAACTTTGGAATTTAATTTGGGAAAAAAGAGTAAAATGACTTTTTAAAAGACTTAAAACCTTATATATTTATCATATAAACCATTTAAAATCAACCCCACATAATAAACAATTAAAAAGAATTTACTTAAAATCCCTTCACTTGGGCAGCCCCGTCAGGGACCACGCCCACTTGGACGGGTCGTGAAGGGTACCACGGCTCGTGGTGGTGCTCGTGGTCCCTTGACCAGTGGGCCTCTCCACCATATCAAGCCCTCAAGGGACCAAGGCATCTTCACGGATGCTCCCACGATCCGTGGTGCACACCACGAGTCGTGGTGGAGCTCGTGAAGATGAGGCAGCACCTAGGCAAAGTTGCCTTGCCTCCCTTGAGACCAAGTGATCTTCACGCCCAAGTATACGGACCGTCTAGGGCACCATTGGCCGTGTTGGTGCCCGTGGTCTTTGGGGCAGTGGGCAGCCAACTTGGGAAAGCCTTGACTTTTTGGCTAAGGCTTGCCCCTTTTTGGCTTGGCTCCTTGTCTAGCACCCTCAACCAACCTAGAGTAGGTCTCAATGCATGGAGTCTAACACGTGCCTTGACGTTGACTCACTAAACTCTTCAAACTAGACCTTAAGAGTCAAAACTCAACATTTAAACAAGTTACTAATGAACAAAACCCATGTGAGGCTCTACTTTATCCTACTTCATTTTGAGGGGCGTTACAATATCCCCACTTGGAAACATTCGTCCTCGAATGACACTTTAAAACATTAAGGGTAATGTCTCAAGACTATCAGCCCACCACAATCATACAATATCAATATGAAAGCACTCATCAAGGAGGAAACATCAACTCCACATAACAAGCCATTACAACACCACTTCATTCAAATTTTATGGAAGTAGGAATCACACCTACAACTGAACATGCCTCAAACTTTTTTTTCCACTTCTCATTTATTTGGAGGAACTCCCTTCTCCATAGTACCTCACGCTCATAACAACATCAAAGAACACAATATGCAATTATCTCATTAAAACACAATCATACCACATAAATAATACACTTAAGCATGCTCAACTAATCAACTCTAACAACTTTTAGCAACTCACCATTTTATGCATATAAGGAGAACAACAATCATCAACCTCGTTTTCTTATTTAAATTAAGAACTCAATTTAAAGCATGCATCATTATAAGGAGAATATAGAAACTCATTCTTTTCCACACAAGACTCCAAAAACCATGCATCATGCTTCTACAATCAAATGACTCAAGCTTGATTAGGAATAGAAGAAAGAGACAAGAATATCCAAACTCACCTCAACTCATCCTTCAACATACCATCCCCCACTTGGGAGAAATCCATCTAAACCAACACAAAACTAGAAATTATGACTTACCGGCACCTTCATCCGGATTTACTTCCTTGTTAGCTCGGAGAGCATAGAAACGATTCCTTGCTTGACCATCAACATTAGGACCACTATAAGGAGCTTCCCTAGCATTCCTTCCTTTAGACACATTATTAGGACAATCTCTCACCTTGTGATCATTTTTCCCACAACCATAGCAACCACTAGTGCCGGATAGACACTTCCCAAAATGCTTCTTTCCACAAGTGGAACAACTAGGCTTAGCAATTTGAGAACCACCACCTCCTTCATGGTTAACCTTAGGAGCACTTGATAAATCTTGATTTGGAGCCCTCTTCTTAAACCTAGGTTGTCCTTGATCCTCATACCTACTCCTTTTTAAATCTTTCCTCACCCTAGTCATCTTAGACTCCTCAATAGATTGAGCATACACAACAAGCCTATAGATGTTCATGTCACCATGGAGCATTGCCGTACGACACTCTTCTTTCACCAAGTCGGATACACCGGTAACAAACATACTCATCTCTTCTCTAGGGTTAGACACCAAAGATAGAGCATACCTAGACAACATAGAGAACTTCAAAGCATACTCCTCCACACTCATAATACCTTGCCTAAGATTAATGAACTCCTCAATTTTGCACTCCCTCTTCTCTAGGGGAAAGTACTTACCCAAGAATGCTTTTTTAAACTCCTCCCATTCTATAGGACCCGCTTGCTCCGGCCTATTTGCCTTCCATTGAGTGTACCAAATTTGGGCCACCTCCTTCAATTGGTATGAAGCCAATTCCGCTTTCTCTCTAAAAGATACTCCCATAGCATCCACAATTTTGTAAATCTCATCCAAGAATCCTTGGGGATCTTCTCCAATTCTAGAGCCCAAAAGATAGGAGGATTCATCCTCACGAAGTCTCTCAACCTTGAGGCCGCCGTACTCTCATTAGCATTCACCCTAGGCCCCACATCTCGGTTAGCTTGAGCCGTCATGGCTCGGGCTAGAGTTAGAAAAGCCGCCCTAATCCTTTCATTAGTCATGGCCGGAGGAGCCACCGGAACCTCATTCTCTTGATTGCCAATGGGGACTTGGTCATCTTGAAGACCTTGCACACCTTGGAGAGGAACTCGATCCCTCATCAACTACCCCTTCTTCCGCTCTCCTTCGGTTAGCCATCGTATTCATTTCCTATATACACAATAGATGGATTAGGAAAATGACACTTATAGACCAAACTCTAAGGCACGACGTCAAGATTAATGAAAGAAGTGAAACTTCTACCGTCCTATAGCCTCTCGCTCATAGATGTGTCGCGACTCACACCGATGAACAAGACTCTACTAGACGTGGCATATGAGACTTTGAATCCTAAGGGACAATTTCCAAAACCTAATGCTCTCATACCAAGTTTGTAACGACCCGGGAGCACCCCCTAGCCGTTACATGCATATTCGACCTCTCGGAGGTCTTATACAAGCCTTAGCATTCATTCATCGCATTCGGTAATAAAAAAACCGTAAGGAATAAGAACACATTTTAAAACAACTCCATAATACTCATAAACTCCTCCAAATGTAAAGAAGTAGAATTTCTAAGTCTCATGTACCATCTTAGACACTAATAGAACATCTTAGGGACACGGCCCTTTACAACAATAGAAAATATAAGTCTTATACAATGTCTAAGTGGAAATACTAGAAAGATAACAACTATGTCCTCGAATATATGAGGACATACCAAGCTTCTTGAGAAGAGTCACTATCCCAAGCTTCCTCAAAAGATCTCCTCACTTCCCACCACCTACACTTATAACAATAGAGAAATATGGAGTTAGTACAATAAGTACTAAGTATGATGACCATGCAAGAAAACATGCACAACAGACATTTACAAGGAATGTATGCTTTTAAGACCTTCTTTAACAAACCTTTACAACCACAAGCATAAACCCACATTTCAAGTCACCATTCACAATTAAGACCATATTCACATCATTTACAACTCAATTAATACAAGTGTACAATACTTAAACAAGATAGTAAAGTAATTATGTCATTACCATTTAAGACTCTATCTCAAGTCACCCTAAGTCACACTTAAGTGAATAATGAAGTGACCGCCCATACAACCTCTTCATATACACCTAAGTGTTCCTAAGAGTTACCATAGACAAGGGTTTTATCATTACATTATAACATACTAAGTCAACATTCTTTATAAAACCATTTAAGAGACACACAAACATATAGGTGACAATCACATAATAGCCCTAAGGCTTAGGGAACACACTTTAGCATCGTTTAAGCCTACTCGTGCCATGTGTAAATAGCATCCCATACTACTACATACAATCATGAAAGTGGTAGTGTGGTAGGTGAGTATTTTATTTTAAAGATTTTATTGTAGTGTTCTTTTGCTAAGTGTCTTAATCTTGATATCTTTTTAATGTTAATTTTTGGTAGTGTGAAATTCATGGTAAAATGTAATAATATTTATTGTAATATTCTTCCGATAGTTGTTTTAATCTGAATATTTCTTTAATATTATTTATGATATATTCTAGATATAACATATCTTCGGTTCTTTGGTACATATATAAATTTTCCTCCATTAATTGTTCTAATAGTTTTGTATCTTCCATAGATTTTATCCAATATTGTAAATATTCGTAGTTCATTTTAATCTGAATTTATTTCTAAATCATACCATTCTATTCTTTCGAAGTCTAAATCATGTAGGTCTATTTCATACCATTCTTGATTTAATATATCTTCTGATTCGTAATCATTAAATATTTTTTTCCATATTATTCTTCTTAATTCGATTATTTCTATATTTTTAAGTACATATAGGATTAAAGTTTCGTAGTTTTTTATCATTTCATCATGCATGTATGTAGTCATGTTCTTTATTATGCAGGTTTTTTATTTCAAATTATTCCTTCCTATCATATTCATAATTGATTAAATTCATATTAGATCATTATGAACTAGATTATCTTTATCATGTTTTCCTGTCACTACTAGCATCGTACTTTAGCAGATACTTTCTTCTTATCAGCGCCTCAACTTTGTTTACTCCCCTAAACGGCTTTCCTCGCCTACCAGTTTCAACATTAGGATGGCATAGTATAGAAGTTTTCTCCCTGTTTTCAGTGTGCTAATAAACTAGAAATCATGATTCAAATAATTCTAATGCATAATAACTAACATAAATTTATTCAATCATATATATGATATTCAGGAATATATGAAATTAGTTCCGCATATTTTTTGAACAATATACCTTTGCCTCTTGCTTAGCCATGCTATATGAAATATCTGACTGGATTTCAGATTTATCCATTAACTTTTAAGTATTTTAGTATCTTTAAGAGAGTTTTTTGAAAGGAGAGTTTTTATTTATCAGGCATTGCCCCCTTCTACAATGTTTACTACTAAGTCTATATATAGACATAAAAATTTACTATTCTAAATACTTATCCTAACACATTTTTTACACATGTCCACTACTATTTACTACTATTCATGAATAGTTCTTATTTTGTCTACCACTATCCTCTTTACGACTTATTTGCACATATTAATAATGTACACTATCTACCACATACACTTGTCATATTTTGTACAAAAGACCCATACCTACTTTATGACAACTATTATGACTTTTACATTTACATTATTTTATACATAACTTTTTCTGTTCATATCTCTTTCTCCTTCTTGTTTTCTTCCTCGTTGATTATTCCAGTTGGACGTCTGGAATTATATTATCTTCTCCGTTGCACTTTGAACATATATGGTCCGGGTATTTATGACCAATTAGCTTGCAATATCTGGTTAATAATTCTGCTGAAATAAATCATTCTTTTAGTGCTCGTGTCGTAGGTCGTTCTTCTGGCTTTAGTAGTGATAAAATCCATCTTTGGACTTCATCCATATCTGCTTTCCTTAGCTCCCTTGAATGGGAATAAATCATTAACTGGTCTCTTGCATAGTACTCCATATAGCGTTTCCGTTTAAATAATTATTTGCTAACTCTTGTATAATTGTTGATATACCAATTATCCTTTTGTTGGCATAAAAACTTGGTATCTCTATTTTGCATATCTCTACTTGTTGTCCGATATCCTCGGGTATAATCATATCTTTAGTTAATCCTATCTTGATAACCTGTATTGGAGGTTTTATTTTTTCGTATAATATCTCCGCTGGTGCTGTATAGAATTTTACATAAAATAAATTTCCTTTCGTAACTCTTTTGTATGTGATGAATGTTTTGTGTAGTTCTGATATTCCACTAACTTCTTCTCCGTCATATGTGTATATGGTATTTAACAGTCCGTAGTTGTAACATGTTCTTACTAAATTAGCGTTAGTTTTCGGTTGTGCAATTAACTTGTTATATCTTTGTAACTTTTGTGTCAAATAATCTTGGTTTGGTTCTTTTGTAGTTGATCTGGGTTGCGGTTTAAATAGGTTTGGATTTTGTGGATATTTTCAATATAGGTTCGTGTAATGTAGTTATATGTCTTTTTTTAATTTTGGTTTTGCAAACTATCTGTGTATGTAGATGTTTGTGGTTCTATGGACACATGTCTAGGTGTCCTTTGGGTAAATGGTTTTGCAAATAGCTGGTTTAAGTTCACATTTTTATGCTGTTTATCGCTAACTTGTTTACTTGTACCTGCAGCTGTATTTAAACAAACATTATGGGTTTTAAGGAGTTTCCCATCGTCTTCTTTTCGCTCTGGCATTTTTCCGTCTTCTGCTCGACGTAGCTCCGCATTTTTATAGTCATGCTGCTGACTAGCTTTAGACTTCAGATTATCTTCATTAGTCTTTAGCTTTTGTATCTCATGTCCATACTATCCACTTTTGTACAAAGTGTAGTAATAACTTTGAGTATTTTTTCGATTGTATCTTCTTCCTCAGTCTCAGTCTGAGTAGCTTTGTCGTAATAGGTAATCTGCAATAACATTCTTATCAGTTTTTATTACTTCAATTGTAAATGTAAAATTTAATATATTTAATACCAATCTCCTTATTTCTTTTGTTGTTACCAAATCTTGTATTTTTCTTGTTAGCCACCATTTTACTTGTGTATTATCTGTTCTTATAATAAATTTGTTATATACAATATATGGTTCAAATGATAATAAACACTTATATACTGAATATAATTCTTTTCTATTTATTTCCCATTTTATTTCTATATTATTAAATGTTCCTGAATAATACCTGCAATGATGTTCTATCGTAGTGTCATCATACCTGTATTTTAATATTCCTCCATAACTTTTTTCACTCGCATCTGATTCTATTATATAAGTAAATTTTTTGTTTTCATCTAGAAAGTATAGTTTAGGTAAGTTTTTACATAATAATTTTACCTTTTGTATTTGTATTTGGTCTTTTTTATCAAACTGATATTCTATATCTTTCTTTAATTTTTGTTGTAACGGTTTTAAA